CTTTAATAATGCTCCTGTTGCTCTTATTTGGCTCCTGTTTCTGTTATGTGGCTCCTGTTTATGTTATGTGGCTCCAGTTCCCTGTTATGTGGTCTAGTTCCTGTTATGTGGCTCCTGTTTCAGCAGGTCTAGTTTATATTATGTGGCTCCAGTTCCTGTCAGTGGGTTCTGTTTCTGTTATGCGCTCCAGTTTATATTATGTGGCTCCAGTTCTGTTATGTGGCTCCTGTTTCTGTTATGCGTCTGAAGTTTATATTATGTGGCTCCAGTCTCTGGGTTATGTGGCTCCTGTTGCTCTTATTTGGCTCCTGTTTCTGTTATGTGGCTCCTGTTTATGTTATGTGGCTCCTAATGTACTGTTATTCCTGCAATATTGTGGCTTCTGGTGGTAGTATGACTCCTGTTGTAGTATGACTCCTGTTGTAGTATGGCTCCTGTTGTAGTATGGCTCCTGTTATAGCATGGCTCGTGTTGTAGTATGGCTCCTGTTGTAGTATGGCTCCTGTTGTAATATGGTTTCTGTTGTAGTATGGCTCTTGTTGTAGTATGGCTCCTGTTGTAATATGGCTCCTGTTGTAGTATGGCTCCTGTTATAGCATGGCTCGTGTTGTAGTATGGCTCCTGTTGTAGTATGGTTCTGGGTTAGGTACATGGCTCCTGTTGTAGTATGGCCCTGTTGTAGCATGGCCCTGTTGTAGTATGGCTCCTGTTGCATGGCCCTGTTGTGTGACTCCTGTTATAGCATGGCCTGTGTTGTAGCATGGCTCCCTGCTGTGGTATGGTCTTGCTGTAGTGATGGCTCCCTGTTGCAGTATGGCTCCCTGCTGTAATATGGTTCACATAGCACATGGCCTGTGTTGTAGTATGGTTTCTGTTGTAGTATGGCTCCTGTTGTAGTATGGCTCCTGTTGTAGTATGGCTCCTGTTGTAGTATGGCTCCTGTTGTAGTATGGCTCCTGTTGTAGTATGGCTCCAGTTGTAATATGGTTTCTGTTGTAGTATGGCTCCTGTTGTAGTATGGCTCCTGTTGTAGTATGGCTCCTGTTGTAGTATGGCTCGTGATGTAATATGTCTGTGTATTTGTGCATTGATAAGTAGACATAGAAAGACACACGTACCAAAAAAAAAAAGATATTGTTTTTCTATAGGTGCAGTAATTTTATAACATACTTCAACCTTAAGCAAAGTCTATTCCGAGAATGAAATTACCATAGCAACATAAGAATGGAAGTATGTGCTAATAAACCTTCATTTATAACGTAGGAGAAGTTTGGTCCCATATGCGCCAGTGGGTAGTAAGCCTACCTGAGCCGCCTTCTGTGTAGACGGTTGGGATCCTCTTATTATTGGCCATCTGTAACCGTGAACCCTCACGACCGCGCTTCATTTGTCATAACCCGCCACTTTATAGACTCCGAGGTTTACAGATTCCGGAATTTATAGTCCTCACTTGTTGACGTTACTGAGGAAACTAATCTACTTTTTTTATTGGCAACTTTGCAAGCCATTGGCACTTACTCGACTAAGTGTCTTATGAATGTAGTGAAGATGAAATTATGTTACATTTACATAATTATTTTGTTCGAGATTGAAATAATGGTTTTAACATTTATTAACATTATCACCACCAATATCCACACCACTATTAACATTACCACCCATACCATTATCACCAACACAAACATTAACACCAACACAAACATTATCACCAACACAAACATTATCACCAACACAAACATTAACACAAACACAAACATTATCACCAACACAAACATTATCACCAACACAAACATTAACACCAACACAAACATTAACACCAGCACAAATATTAACACCAACACAAAAATTAACACCAGCACAAACATTAACACCAACACAAACATTAACACCAGCACAAATATTAACACCAACACAAAAATTAACACCAGCACAAACATTAACACCAACACAAACATTAACACCAGCACAAATATTAACACCAACACAAAAATTAACACCAACACAAACATTATCACCAACACAAACATTAACACAAACACAAACATTATCACCAACACAAACATTAACACAAACACAAACATTATCACCAACACAAACATTATCACCAACACAAACATTAACACCAACACAAACATTAACACCAACACAAACATTATCACCAACACAAACATTATCACCAACACAAACATTAACGCCAACACAAACATTAACACCAACACAAACATTAACACAAACACAAACATTATCACCAACACAAACATTAACACCAACACAAACATTAACACCAACACAAACATTAACACCAACACAAACATTATCACCAACACAAACATTAACACCAACACAAACATTAACACCAACACAAACATTAACACCAACACAAACATTATCACCAACACAAACATTAACACCAACACAAACATTATCACCAACACAAACATTAACACCAGCACAAACATTATCACCAACACAAACATTAACACCAACACAAACATTATCACCAACACAAACATTAACACCAGCACAAACATTATCACCAACACAAACATTAACACCAGCACAAACATTAACATCAAGACAAACATTAACACCAGCACAAACATTAACACCAACACAAACATTAACACCAGCACAAACATTAACATCAAGACAAACACTAACACAAGCATTAATACCAACACAAACATTAACACCAACACAAATATTAACACCAACACAAACATTAACACCAAGACAAACATTAACACCAGCACAAACATTAACACCAACACAAACATTATCGCCAACACAAACATTAACACCCAACACAAACATTATCGCCAACACAAACATTAACACCAGCACAAACATTAACACCAGCACAAACATTAACACCAACACAAACATTAACACCAACACAAACTTTATCGCTAACACACAAACATTAACACCAACACAAACATTATCACCAACACAAACATTAACACCAACACGCATATCACCAACACAAACATTAACACCAGCACAAACCTAACACCAACACAAACATTAACACCAGCATAAACATTAACACCAACACAAACATTAACACCAACACAAACATTAACACCAACACAAACATTAACACCAACACAAACATTAACACCAACACAAACATTAACACCAACACAAACATTAGCACCAACACAAACATTAACACCAACACAAACATTATCACCAACACAAACATTAACACCAACACAAACATTAACACCAACACAAACATTATCACCAACACAAACATTAACACCAACACAAACATTAACACCAACACAAACATTAGCACCAACACAAGCATTAACACCAACACAAACATTAACACCAACACAAACATTAATACCAACACAAACATTAACACCAACACAAACATTAGCACCAACACAAACATTAACACCAACACAAACATTAACACCAACACAAACATTAACACCAACACAAACATTAACACCAGCACACAACACAAACATTAACACCAGCACAAACATTAACACCAGCACAAACATTAACACCAACACAAACATTAACACCAGCACATTAACACCACACAAACATTAACACCAACACAAAATTATTAACACCAACACAAACATTAACACCAACACAAACATTAACACCAACACAAACATTAACACCAACACAAACATTAACACCAGCACAAACATTAACACCAACACAAACATTAACACCAACACAAACATTAACACCAACACAAACATTAACACCAACACAAACATTAACACCAGCACAAACATTAACACCAACACAAACATTAACACCAACACAAACATTAACACCAACACAAACATTAACACCAACACAAACATTAACACCAACACAAACATTAACACCAACACAAACATTAACACCAACACAAACATTAGCACCAACACAAACATTAACACCAACACAAACATTAACACCAACACAAACATTAACACCAACACAAACGACTACACTTCTTAAACGTGGAGATAATTTCCCATAGACTTTAGTACGTAGCATCGCATATCTCTCTCTCTCTCTCTCTCTCTCTCTCTCTCTCTCTCTCTCTCCTTCGTACTCATTTCTTATATTATTTTTCTGTCTCCTCGCCCTCATTTGTTTCTTTTGTTTACGTCCGTCCCTAGCTGTCGTATCTCTATTAATTTCACGAGATAAACTTTATAATGCTCTGTTTGTTAAACCTCTAACAGCATATTCCTTATATATTACAAGGCAGCATATGTGTCCCACCACCTATGTACACACGAGCACACACATACATACACACCTCACACACAAACCTCACATACTCACACACCATTTACCTAACATACGCCACCAAGTGCATGTCTCTCTCTCTCTCTCTCTCTCTCTCTCTCTCTCTCTCTCTCTCTCTCTCTCTGTACTGTACGTGTAATGTGAACATATACAGTAGACAAGGGAATAGAGACATGTACTCGTATGAGAGATTTAGAGACAGTTATAGACAAAGTAAGGATGAGTGTTAGCCGTGAGTGAGCAACACAATAAGTTAGCCACAGTGGGGAGGTTGTAGTGGGCCTCCAGGCAGTGTGTAATGATCTATGGTATTTGGCATGGGGTAATCACTCACAACTTACTCTCCTGAATCTTTACTGGCTGTCGATCCAGCTGAGAGCGGACGCGCTGGCCAATGAGCGTTGAGCGCTGGACGTAGCTTGACTGTTTGCATACCTCCACGTCAACACTTATTGTCTAACTCTCGTTTTTCTCGACATTATGTTTGAATTAACATAAGGAGTCACCTTATAAAGATAAACCATTTCCTGAAAATAAAACACTTGTGGGGAGGTGGTGGGTCTGTGACGTCTGTTTGGCTTCTTCCTCATTGTCAGTTGTTGTGTCGCTGCCTCCTCCTCCCCGAGGCCCCGCCCCGCCCCCTTCTCCACTACGCCAGTCGTCTACCCCAAAACCCCTTCAGGAGTGTATCGTAATTGACGCCGCTGCGAAATTCGTTACGAGAGAGATTTGGACGTAACGAGACAGGCGGGTTGGCTGTACTGAAGCGAAGTGTAGCAAATGTGGGAGTCAGTTGGGTGTGAGAGTGCTGCTGTTCCTGACCGCCGCCGCTGCCGTGCTATGCCCTCCCTGCAGGTAATGTGGCAAAATGGCCAGTTTCTGTCGTGCAGGTGTTTATTCTTGCCTTCCTGGATGACTGTTTATGTTGTGTGAGGTGGGCGAGGGGCAGTGCCACGCCGGCGGGGGGCGGGAGGAGGGTAATGGTGAGGGATCTGCAGGGTGACCTCAGGTGACCCTGGGTGGGTGGGTGGTAGTGGGGGAGGGTGTGTTGGGGCAGGGAGGGACGGAGGTAGGTGGTGGTGCACGTGGTGAAGGACGTGTGGGATGTTGCGGGGTGGTGCACGTGGTGGTGGTGAAGGGGTGTGCGCGACGGGGGTGCGCGGGGGGCACTGGCAACCCTGCGGTGGCCGGGCCGGGCGCGGGCTCCTCACACGGCCGCGCGCCGCCGCCTGCCCAACACCGCTGTGTTAGCACACTCACCGCTAGCGCTCCTGCGGCACCTCACACGCCGCATCTCTCTCGTGTCGCACTCGTAGCCACAGTAGCGACGCAAGTGTGGCAACCAGCAGCGGCGGCCCGGCCTCCCACAGTGTCCTTACCCCAGTGCCTCTACATGCCAGCGTTGAAGTTCCGACGCGGCCTTAAACCTCCGCCCGCACCACCCCAACATTCCGCCCACTCCAGGATACAAAACTTCTAGTGCCTCATAAATAAATAATTAATATTCCCGGCGTTGCTTACTACATACCCTTGGGCCGACAGCAGCAGCACCGCCAGGTGTGGAGTGCCAGCTTGTGTCCACCAGGTCACCTTCGCCGCCACATTACCTGCCTGCGTCAGGAGTAGCGCCAAGCTGACCCGCCTCTCTGGCCTCGACCCCACGCGCCGCCCGACATGAGATGATTTGTGTTTTGTGTGATTTTGTGTGAAAGTCGTGGGAAAATTTTGACAAGTTGTGCCAAGGAGAGTAGTGTTGTGGAGCGGCCGCGCTGTACAGTTCCCGGGTAAAGGGGAGCCCTCACAATACCAGGTGAATTTGAGGTGAATTGGGGTGAGAATTTGGACAAAAAAGGCCAAACACGGAGGCTTGTCTGGCCATTTATCAAACGCGAGAAGTCACTGCCTGGAAAAGGGGAGACCTCAGAGAACCATGTCCGACAATTTATTTTAATCTAAGAAAATATACAAAGGTGACAGGTTTAAAAAAGTCCGCCGGTAGGTTCCCAGGCCTAGTAACACTGCCCTGGCCCGGAACAGGAGTTGACAAGCAAGCAGTATCCCGCCAATCCCCGGCCTTCCCTGTACAGCAGTAGCTCACAATAAGTGATTTACTCAGTGCAATTCAATAATTCCAAATTACTCCTTGGGGCAAAGTGGAATCAAAGCAGGTGAACTCTAAAGAACCAATATAATAAAATATATTTATATGCCGTATATATCTATATATTTCATATATGTGCCTAGTGAGAGTGAAGCAAAAGTGTGAGAGCAGGAGAGAGCAAGTAACTCTTCACTGTAGCGCGTTGAGCGTCCTATAGTGAAGAGGAGACCTGGATGCGTTCACACCACGCCTGTCTGTCAACGCCTGCACAACCATAGGTGAGCTCCCCTGAAAACAGTACCTTAACTCTCCTGCTGGGGAGACGAGGTGACGTGTCTGTACTCTCCCCAGAGGTGTAGTGGTGGGGTGATGAAACTATGTAGTAAAGAGTTGGTCTCGTGTTACGGATGTTTCAGTTGTGTCGAAGTTCGTCTCATTTTTTTTTCACGAATGTAGTTTTATTTGTTGTTGGCTCTTAAGTGAACACGTTGTCTTTGAGTGAATACATAATGTGGCAGTTAACTCTTAAGTTTGTTTCTATAAATAGATTGTATGTAATTAAAGACTAATTACCCCCAAAAATATATCTCCAACCTTTGACACTCGAAAAGACGAATTTATTAACAGTAAATATAATTCCATGTTAAAATCTTTTCGCAATATCTACCATGTAAACAAGTTCGTAAGACATCTGCGTGACGAGGCCAGACTTGTGATGACTGAAGGTCTCCACAAAATTTAGTGAATGACAGAAGTGTGTGTTGAGTGTGGCCGACCCCCGCGCACAGCCACCGTGAATGGATGGATGCTGCAGCAACTCCTCCCCCAACAACCATCCCGTCGTTAGCTATAATACAACACCTCAGTAATCATCTCAACACGTAAACTATGGTGATTCATATATAACTGAATGATTAATACTCTGTAAATAATAACATCCCTTATCAGCAAGCGATGAAGATATCACTATACCCAGTTTGACCACCACCTCCCATTACAACAATCTCGACGGTGAGAGGAGACCCGACACTCGCCCTGCTAGTTATTTCCTCGTTATTAACATTCTGAACGTTCCGAGTATGATTCATGTGTGAGGTATAAGTGGCAGTATCCTGTGGGAGTGTTCCGCCGCCTCCCACCTCCCGGAGAGGATCACCACCGGAAATTCGATGGGATTCAGTCGTGCAAAGGTGGGATCACGACCCTCGATGCCTTCTCTCCTAACCTGTGATTTCTGACGCTTATAAAAATCACTCTTTTCAGATTGGCCTTTTTTTCATCTCTTGGTAAAAAACAGGATATAATCACCACGAAGAATTCCAGTGATTTAATGTGACCTGACATAGGAACACAAACAAATTATTAGTTTTAGTAGGAAAAAATTAATGACAAATAAGGTTGTCATGCTGTACTCACTAACACCATCACAACACCCACCACTGGCATCATAACCTCAAAAATATTCGCACCATCATCAACTACCACAACCATCATAACAGCCTCATCACTATTCTATCATCCAGTACCACCACCATTATCACCACACCCATCATCAGCACCACAACTTAACACCACCATTATCACCACCACCACCCAGTACCATCATTACCATTGCCTAACACCACCATCACCACTTTTATCACAATCCTCACTATAACCATATCACCACCACCACAACCAACATCATCACCACCACCACAACCAACATCACCACCACCACCAAACTACAACCACCACCACTGACAATGTTTGATGGATGGATGGGTCTACCAGCCACCGGACATGATGAATTAAGAGACGCTAGTGATTCCCAGAAACAAAGAAGTTGACAGTCAGTTCATGTATCACGTGAGTTTGGCGTCACGCTCCCGAAATTTTTTTGGGGGGGAGAAGCAAAAGTTTTCTCCAGACCCAATCGCCGCCGCCGTCGCCTCCGTCAACTGGTTGGAGAAAAGACTGGCTCAGGAACTGTCGTCAACAATAAAAGTAGGATTGGAAGTTTGCGTGAAGACTTTTTTGATTAATAGAATGTAAACACACACGTACCCCTCGGTAGACAACAGCGCACGATACACAAAATTAATTTACGTGAAAGCAGATGACACCAGAGAAATTACCGGGGGTCGGGTTTGTCCTCCCAGCGGCTTCAATCAAGTAAATGATTTAATTATAATCATTACATCGTTGAAAGACAAATATATGCCTGGAGCTGCTCCCATAGTGTGTTCTTCTCTCGTGCTTCATTAGCAGATTAACAAAATATTATGATGACCTGACGATAAGGATCCCAGTTAAGAAATTGCTACTTTGCAACGAGACTTGTTAGGGCGGAGCGTTGACGTATCGACCCCTTGCCTAGTTTATCTTCCTTCATAATTACATCATATACATACATCAAGCCTTATATGACGAAAGGAAGTATTGTGTTATGTATAGCATCATACTGTACACACGCATACAAAAATGTATATGTTTAAGTAGGAGCGGCTTGTACAAGACCTCACCACCAATCAAGCCAGAATATCTTAACTTGATCGAGGGTTGACGGGGACCACACGTCTACCACCTAGTAATTATCACACTGATCCACTACACCTAAATTGACGATGAAAAACTTGTAATAGCTTATCGGGATGGCTAGGAACGTTAACTTAGTGCTAATCTTTCTATTTTATTTTTTTGGGGGCTGCTCTTTTTTTTTATATAGAAATAGTGCAAATATAACTACGATTTGTCACGAGAGACTCTGGCCTTCATCGCAAAATAACGAGAAATTGTGTATATTTCCGTGATGGACAGAGCCAGAATTCGTCTAGCAATATTAATGTTTATGGAAAAGTTCCTACAAACGACCAATTCCAGAAATGGATTACTACTAGTACGTGCGTGTGGCCAGTTTATCACCCCCAGCGACTGTTTCCTACGGGTGTTCAACTTTTATGAGCCAAACACGAGTGATGAGTTTATAACCTAAATTAAAATGTGTTAATCTTTCGTGCCGGACCATCATTATCATTCACAAACTTTTTAAAACTAATTTTATTTTACGTCTGGTTGGGTTTTCTGATAGCCACTTTTGACGAGGTTCCACTACAGCGGGTTAAGTCAAGGGATATAATTTGTCAGCTCGTGAAATTATAGCGTTATTGCAGTAAGGTAAAATTATCGTAAAAGTGGGAATTGCTGGTAGTTAGTGGAGAAAGTGAAGCGTGTGTCAGAGCGAGGCGTTATTAAGGGATAATGTACCGTATTGATCTCACCAGCGAGTGGAAATATTAAGGTGCTCTGTTACCTCCGTTCTTCATTAATAAATATCCTTACTATACTAATAAATTTAGGATTTAGTATATATCACAGCAAGGCCATCCTCCTTCACCCCCTCAGATACTGTAACTTATAACAGATGAAAAACAGAGATTATTAAAAAATAAATATATGAAAGAAAAAACAGAAAATTTTCAACAAAAGATAAACAGAACTTAGTAATGATTTTATAAACATGTTAAAATTACAAGAAAAGTGAATCACGATATACGAGGAAATTCCTTACTTCTGGAGACCGTCATTCATCAGACCTCACACCCTCACATCTATCTAGTTAATTTTGCAGTCATTGATTTCACATAATTTCTAAGAGAGAAAAAAAAATAAATCCACCAAGATATTCCTTCAGCTTGACAGTAGCGTGATGCGATGCTCATTTGTTGAGAATTTTTTTACAAGAGTTTAATTATTAATGAAAAAGAAAGTAGAA